GGGGTGAGCAGAGCTGGTGCGGGGTGAGCAGAGCTGGTGTGGGTTGAGCAGAGCTGGTGCGGGGTGAGCAGAGCCGGGGCTGCGGGGTGAGCAGAGCCGGTGCTGTGGGGTGAGCAGAGCTGGTGCAGGGTGAGCAGAGCCGGGGCTGCGGGGTGAGCAGAGCCGGGGCTGTGTGCAGTCCTCCCTGAGGGCCTTCCTGGAGTCAATGGTGAGGCAGGTGGAGGCAGGGACGTCACGGGGAGCTGGAGGGGCCAGCAAGCCCTCCGGTGTCTGCTCCTGCTTGCCGTGAGTGTCGCCCTTCTAGGGCTCCCGCATGTGGGTCCCCATGAGCATGGGGGCGTCCCTGTAGCAGCAGGGGTTTTGGTTCTGGTCAGCTGTGTGACTAGAATCCTGATCTCGTCCCCACCTCCAAGTGCTCTAGGCTGACCACCTCTGTGTCCTGGTCTGGGATGTGTCTGGCTGGTGGCCTAGCCCGCTGGCCCCATACCTGCATCTCCTCCCCAGCACCCCAGCTGGGCTGCACACACTCACTGCCCCTGGTCTGTCTCTGTGCAAATCAGACAGAGACCCCTTGGAAGGTCCACCCCAGGCTGCCCTGGAGGCTGCTCCCTGGAGGCCCCTGCTCCTGGGCTTCAGGTTCCTGTGAAGTCCTCCGGGTCCCCTCAGGCCAGGGCCCCACAGATGTGTGAGGGATTCCTGGGATGGGGTCTGGACAAGCCAGGTGAGCTGCCCAGAGCAGGGCTCTGACCACCTGAAGGGGCCTGTGGGTGAGGGGAGGCAGGGCTGGCTGAGGTTCGTCTGGGGCAGTGGGATCAGGAGGCCACAGGAGGACCTTCCTCCATCCCTGCCTGGGGCGGTCCTCTGTCCTGAGTGTGGCCCCTCTTTGCTCCACCCCAAGCTCCTGCTGGGTCCCATCGCCACCTCCAGGAAGCCCCCTGCCCCCACCCTGTGCACCCGCTCAGGGTGGGAGAGAGGTTCTCACAGGGAGGAACTGGCCCTGGAGATCTGCAGCCCAGAGCTGCGTCCACAGTCCAGGCCTCCTGGTGGATGGCGGTTGCCATGTCTCTGGGCCCTGAGGGTCCTCCGGCCTGCCCTGCTGTCCTGTGGGAGGGTCCTGTGGTGTGGGGCACCCTGCACTGGAGGGGGCCTCTGCGGTGCACCCCACCCCGACCCTTCTCAGGCAGCTCAGCCCTTTGTGGGTCCCTTGGGGCCTTGAGTTTAGCCCCTCCTCTGTGGGACGCCCTGAGCGCTCCCCTGGGCACCGCGTGGGAGCCCGTGACCTGTCCTGCTGTCTGTCTTCCCTGTTGCTCAGTCCATTTGTGGACACAGATGTTCTTGTTGCCACAGCTCTGGCTGACCGTCTGCTTGGCCAGGCCATCCAGACAGACGGCGGGCAGGGCTGGGCTCCCTGGGACGGTCCTGACCCGCGGCCACTCTGACCTGCAGAGCATGGGGGCCCCACACATCCCGGGGCGGGCGGTGCTTTTCCAGCGGGAGAGGACWGGCCTGACCTACAGGGTGCCCGCGCTGCTCCTGGTGCCCCCTGGTCCCACGCTGTTGGCCTTTGCGGAGCAGCGACTCAGCCCCCACGACTCTCATGCCCACCGCCTGGTGCTGAGGAGGGGCACACTGGCTGGGGGCTCCGTGCAGGTGAGTGGTCAGCACAGAAGTGTGGGCTCCTGACGGAGGCAGCCTGGATGGGGAGGCTGAGGCCCGGTTCCTGAGCGCCTCCTGTCCTGGGCCCAGGCCTTGGGCATCCTGGCCAGTCACACTCCTCCTCTGGCAGTGGGGTGCTCTGCGTGTGCTGGGGACGGCCGTCCTGGAGGGGCACCGCTCCATGAACCCCTGCCCAGTACTGGACACGGCCTCAGGCACCGTCTTCCTCTTCTTCATCGCCGTGCTGGGCCACACCCCCGAGGCTGTGCAGATCGCCACTGGCAGGAACGCGGCCCGCCTCTGCTGTGTGACCAGCCGGGACGCTGGCCTCACCTGGGGCAGCGCCCGGGACCTCACTGAGGAGGCCATCGGGGCCACGGTGCAGGGTAGGCTGGCCAGGGGGGTGGCCCCCTTCCCCACAGGCCACCTGGGGCCTCCTGCTGGCCCTGCCAGCCGCCTGCTGAAACAGGCTTCAGTCCCGCTCTCAGGACTGCCTGGCCCCAGGAAAACCTCGTTCCCAGGCAGACGGGGCCAGTCCTCCACCCCAACGCCGGGTGGGCAGGGCGGGTGCCGCCAGCGGACCTAAGGCACTGTCCTCCCCCTGGCCGTGACTGTCTGCTGAGGCTGAGATCTGGCTTCCAAACCCATGGCCTCCCACCCCCATGGCCTCCCAC